AGGTAAGCTGCAGCCGGGCGGTGGTGGCGCACGCCTTTAATCCCAGCACTCGGGAGGCAGAGCCAGGCGGATCTCTGTGAGTTCGAGGCCAGCCTGGACTACCAAGTGAGTTCCAGGAAAGGCGCAAAGCTACACAGAGAAACCCTGTCTCGAAAAACCAAAAAAAAAAAAAAAAAAAAAAAAAAAAAAAAAAAAAAAAAAGAAAGGTAAGCTGCAAATTTAGACTATTGAGAATTGTTTCTCTGTTGCATGCTTGAAATTCATTGTTCACATTAAAGTTTAGAATCTGTTAATTTAAAAAATACATTACTCTTTGGGCTGGAAAGATGACTCAGTGGTTAAGAGCAGTTATTCTTGCAGAGAACCAGATTCAGTTCCCAACACCTACAAGGTCCTCCACACCCACTGTAACTCTAGTTCCATGGGATCCGATGCCCTCCTCTGACCTCCTTTGGTATAAAGTACACACATGGTACACATATATACATGCAGGCAAAACACACATAAAATAAAATGAATAAATCTTTTTTAAAAACTACCCTATTTTCATTAAAGTGACATTTAATGTTCATAATACTAAATGTATATAATGCATTTGAATTTTATCTTTAAAATTTTTAATTCCTGAAAATGATCAGAATTGTGTTGATAAAAAAGGTTAAAGTTTCCCTGTGTTCACTTGTTTTAAAGGAAGTAATCAGATTATAAGCATAATTTATAGTAAATGCTGTACTAAATCCGTTTTTATTAATGCTTTAGCACTGTAGCACCTAACTCGTTGCCCCAGATACCTATCCTGTCTCTTGATCCATCTGTCTGCCAGTTTGATTTTTAGTTCTGTAATCAGTATACATGAATATTTAATATAATTTACATTAATAAAGGTAGGGAGCACACTGTTTTTCCTCTTACTTTCCTTGGAAGCATACTCTGTAGCCCAGGCTGACCTCACACTTGCAGTAATCCTCTTGCCTCCAACTCCAGATGCTGGGAATGCAGGCTTGGGCCACCATGCCAGTTGTTTTCCTTAGTTTTCACTATGTTTTCAAATATGTCACTTGTTTGAATTCCCATTATACTTTTAATTGACACAATCTTTAGAGAGTATAACTTTGAACATCGCAAGTGTATCTACACAATATAATCTACACTTGTTTAGGAATTGGCTTTGTGGGAACCAGGAGAGACAACACAGTGTTTTAGGAGAGTAGGTTTTAACATTTGTAAAATGCAGAATTTTAGTCTGAAGTCAATTCCATTTTACAAGTATTTCCTGAGTTGATTTTTTAAGACAACTTTCTTCTAGAAAATTATGCCTTTTTGTGTTTTAATAAATCCATCTTGGAAGAAATTTCAAAATTATTTTTTCTCATATCTATATATAATAAATAAAATTGATCAATTAGAAAAGCTATTTCTGGCTTGTGGTTACTTACTTGGTTTAAACATCAATAAATATTTGTTGATTTGAAGTAGATTTTTGTATTGGACCAAAGTAAAGCAGATTGTTATTAGCGCTAGTTGCTTATTAAAAATAGATTGCTTTAGCTGGGTGGTGGTTACACAAGCCTTTAATCCCAGCACTCAGGAGGCAGAGGCAGGCAGATCGCTGTGAGTTTGAAGCCAGCCTGGGCTACAGAGTGAGTTCCTGGAAAGGCTCCAAAGTTACACAGAGAAACCCTGTCTCAAAAAAACAAACAAAAAATGGATAGCTTTTATGCCTTTTGTAATAGTTCCACTGTATACTGTGAAAATGAAATCACTACTTAGTAGAAAGCAGCAATGTTAGGACTAAGGAGTTAGTTTGGTGGTAAAATGCATGGCTCAGGATTCAGTCCTCAGCACCAGTGGTGTGGGGCACAAAATGTCATTATTTAATTGCATTTGGATTGTGAGCATCATGTTTTATCCAGATGACACATGAAACTGTGAGTTCCTCTCCATCTGAGTAGTTGGGTGAAAACTTTTGCTTTAAACACCAACACAGGCAGTTTAATCTACTCTTCATCACCTCAAGACTATAGATTCACATTCCCATGGCAGTGTGCAAGGTTCCTTTCACTGGAGTCATTATATTTTTTTATAGTTTTATATATTTTATTAATCTTCTAAGATAGAAGACCATAGATATTTAAAACAGGTAAGGCAGTTGTATGAAAGTTAGGAATCTGATCTCTGATTAAACATTTAAGTTCCCTTCCTTGTATATAATCTTTGATTCAGTAGTGTATTTTGTAGATGTTAATTAATTAAAATTAATCAGAATTAAATGAACAATTTTAATCATTTTTAAAATCTGATAATGCAGAAGTTAATTTAGTAATTTAGTAGAGACACCACTATAGTAAGGTCTTGACATAAAGATTTCCAGATATGCCGTCTACCCTTTATGTTCTTCTGTATATCCCTAACTGATGTCATCTGCAGTCCCACCCTGTCACCACTCTATTTATCCAGGCAGCAACTGTGCAAGCCGGCTTAGTTTTGCAGGTGTCAATTTTCTCCTTTGGCCCCCACTAGTTGTTCTCTCAAGACTTGAATCTTTTTTTACTGAATTCTACCACATAGAGAATACTCTTTCTGCTTTCTTCCCTAACAGTCTTCCTTCTCTTAAGTTTAAGGAAAATTGAATTCTATTCTCTCACCATTTCTTTTTCCACCAAGTAGTTGCTGAGTGTATGATTGTCACCTGTAATCCCAGCACTTGGGAAGCTGAGGCAGGAAGCTCAAAAGTTCCAGACTAGCCTGAGCTACATAGCAAGTCAAAGCGTTCCATAGTGAGAGCCCATCTAAAACCAAAAGAAGTGTGGTTGCCCTAGATGAATACTAATTCTTATTCTACTTAATAGTTTAGTTGCATGGATTAGAATAAGCACTTAATACTGTGTCACCAATTCTTTTGAGAAAAATTTTAGCTTTTAAGGTCTGACTCACTGCTTACTTGGTCTGACTTGTGCTTTTCTTAGAAAATATTTGAAAAGAAGCAAGACCATTTAATTTAATATGTTATAGCAGTGTCTCTCAATCTGTGAGCCGTGACACCTTTGGGGGTTGAACAACCCTTTCACAGGGGTTGCCTAAGACCATCTGCATATCAAACATAAACATTACAATTCATAACAGTAGCAAAAGTACAGTTATGAAGTAGCACTGAAAATAATTTTATGGTTGGGGGTCACCACAGCATGAGGTGACCTGTATTTAACTGTATTAAAAGGTTGTGGCATTAGGAAGTTTGACAACCACTTTGTGGTAGGAAATAAAAATTTTCTTAAGCTGGGTGGTGGTGGCGCATTGCTTTACTCCCAGCACTCAGGAGGCAGAAGTGGGCAGATCTTTGAGTTTGAGGCCAGCATGGTCTACAGAGAGAGTTTCAGGACAACCAGGGCTAAACAGAGAGACCCTGTCTGTTGTGGTGGTGGTGGTGGGGTCTTAATACCATGATCTGACATCTTATTAAGATGCAAATTAAGGATGGAGAGATGGCCACAGTTGTTACTATGTGCTGCTCTTGCAGAAGACCTAGATTCAGTTACCAGCACCCACATGGAGATGCACAAGTACCTGTATCTCTGATTCCAGAAGATTCAGCTCCCTCTTTGGACTTCATGTGCATTCCATACATGAGGTGTGCTTATATACATGTAGACAAAACACTCATACCCATAAAATAAAAATCTTTTTAAGACATGAATTAGCATAAGGTTCATATTTGGTGTGTCCACAGCATATAATCCTACATCTTCCTACTCTTCTAATAAACAGTTCCCCATTCTAAGATTCAAAAACCTCAGAAGAAGTATAGCTCTTTGTTTATGTAAATACCCATTCTGTTGCTTTGAAGTACTGAAACCTTGTGGTCAAGCTATACTACTAAGACTTTGAGTTAGAAAGTTATAGAATTGTCATTTAAAATAGCAAATATTTTATGTATGTGTATGTGTGTGTATGTAAAAAATTGGCAACTCTGTGTACAACTCTAGAATATACGTTTGCTATAGATAGTGGCCTTACCCTTCTACATATGGGCAGAATGACTCGGCAGTTGCTTACAGGATGAAGTCTGGTTTTATGATGTGTTAAATGTGATCTATAATATATAATTGTGTGTCTTTGAAATAATACATATGGATTATATGATACAAGATATTTCCTCCTTTTGTAAACTCCTATTTTAGTTGCTTTTCTATGCTAGAAACTGCTAAAATAATTATAACACCCCATTCATAGGTAGGTAGGTAGACAAAAAGTACCTGTAATACTAGAAAATGGGAGGGACATCAGGAATAATTAATTTTAGTGTAGTGGTTTAGATTTTAAAAACCAGTTGACTGGGTTGAGAAGGTAACTCAGTGGGTACAAATGCTTACTATAGAAGTAGGAGGACTTGTAACCCAATGTCATCCTCTGGTTTCTACGTCCTCATGCACATGCACACACATCTACATCACCACACATGTAAAATAAACAACAGTTAACTGTTTTAGTTGCTTTTCTGTGTTGGAAACTGCTAAAATAATTGTAACAATTCCTAAGGAAGTTTAAGGCATCTCTTTTTTCCTCTCTTAGAAGTTACAAAAACTACTTCATGAGCTATATTTACTTTTTTGGTAAATTTATTTAAATATTTGTACCTTTACATGGTTTTGTTCATTTGTTGGGGGGGGGGGTTTACCCCACGTTGGCACTGGAGATGAAACCCAAGACTACATATATTTGGTAAATGATTTATTAAGATATTTACAACTGACATAATTAGACAATTTTTAAATACGCATTTCCTACTTAGATGTTAAGCATTTGGGATTTCTTCTGTAGAACTGAAGATCACTAAACATTGATTTCTTACAGGATATTCCCTCCTTTTGTAAACTCCTGTGGAAGAAATATTTTTGATGAGTTGTTGGCATTTTGTTACTTTTTTATTAGAGGATAAAACTTGGTTGATACTGATTTTAGATTAAGTCTAAGAAATTTACTTTTTAAACTTATGTTTCTAGGGCAAATGGTACCATCGGAGGCAAGCTGTAAAAGAATTGCATAGTACACTGATACGCCTTTTAAATGAATTGCTGCCATGGGAACCAAAGTTAATGAAGGCTTTTCAGAGAAACAGGTAACAAGCTTTATGATGTATTTAACTTATTCTAAGACCCTTAGTTTATGATTTGGGGTTTTTCCATTCATTTGTAATTCAGCAAATGCAAAGACATGTTCTCTGTGATTTACTTTCTAATAGAAGAAATACAGACTGAAATGTGATAAATGCTAGTGGGGGAAGGTCATGATGAAAGGGGATGTGAAATTCCTGTTGAGACTGTGAGGGCTACTCATGAAGGAAATGAGGTGCGTATTAGAAGGAAAACAGAATAGAAAAACACACTCTCAAAGTATAGAAGTGTATTTGGCATTTGGAGGAAACACAGTCAGTTACAACCAAAGGAAAATGATTGATGGAGATTGAGTTAGGACATAAAAGTCAGAGGTCAAAGACGCCAGGTCAGGTAGCACTTAATCTTTTAAGAGTTTCTGTGGACCAAGATGAAAAGCTTTTGAGAGGATTGTACAGAGACGGGTGGTGTCTTCCGTGTTTCACTCGCTCCCTTGCTGGCTGGCAGTGCTGAGACTTGCATCCAGAGCTGTACACATGAGTCAGTATACCACTGAGCTGTACCTCTAGCCCTGAGGTTTTGGTTTTTGTTTGAATTTGTTCACGTTGATGGAGTGTGTGAGTGTGTGTGTGTGTGTGTGTGTGTGTGTGTTGCTAGAGTTTTCCTGCCTGGCCCACAGTCAGGACAAATCTCTCTCACCCGCCAGTCCCAAGCCGCTCAAACCCGACCAAGTAAACACAGAGACTTATATTGGTTACAAACTGTATGGCTGTGGCAGGCTTCTTGCTAACTGTTCTTACAGCTTAAATTAATCCATTTTTATTAATTTATACCTTGCCACGTGGCTTGTGGCTTACCGGTACTTTACATCTTTTTTGTCCTGATGGCGGCTGGCAGTGTCTCCTCACTCAGCCTTCCACTTCCCAGCTCTATTCTCCTCCTTGTCCCACCTACACTTCCTGCCTGGCCACGGGCCAATCAGTGATTTATTCATTGACCAATCAGCAACACATTTGACATACAGACCATCCCACAGCACCTCCCCTTTTCTTTTCTTAAAAAGGAAGGTTTTAACCTTTACACATCTCCAAAGTCAGCTTGGTATATTTGGGAATTTGGGCGTAGCTTCTCTTACTACTTCCTGCTGGAGGGGGGCGCTGTATCTTCTGGGGAAACAAAGAAAATTTTAGGATCATGGAGTAGTCCGTGAGGCTGTATCATCTGAGCCAGTTGTCTTGAAACGGTTCTGGATGTTGGATCATCTGGGCCATGGTGTCATCGGAGACCTTTCAGGGGGTCTTGGCTGGTCAAACCTGATGTATCTTACTCTGGAACAAATCCATAGCCTCTTGCTTTCTGTGGAAACAAAAGAGACTCTTTTCCAAAGCAACATATCCTTACATCCAAATTTTGAAGTCAAAGTATCTTTAAAATATACGTACTGGTTTAACTCAGCTTCCTTTACAATCAAACATCTCTCTGTAGTTAAGAATCCCAAAGACAACACAATCCAGACTCTCTGTGTAATAGTCATCTCTACGTGGCTTATTTTTTATATTAATTTTACTGTCTCTTTAAAGACTTTATTTTTTAAAACCATGAATTTGTTTCTATACTGTATATATCACCTTTTTTTGTCTCTTTCAAGCCTACGTATATTTTACACACATTTTAAACTATTACATCTGAATCTGTCTTATTGTGAATCTATTGCTTTAAGCTGCAGCAGCTGTGGCTGCTGGCTCCGCCCACCTCAGCTTCCCAACATGGCGGCGGCGGTACTGTAGTTTTCCGCCAGTTCTGGGAGCTATCGTGGGTCTATGCTTTTATCCAAGCAGCGTGTAGCCCCAAAACCTCTTTTTTTGTTTTGCACCAGCAAAGGCTAAATCCACCATGCAGCTCAAAGTGCCACTTGCAAAGGTCTCATTCCCGCCATACTGCAGATCGAGCGCACACGCCAGTAGCTCAAACCGGCAGCTGCCGCTCATTTGAGAGAGACAATTAGGAACTGTTTTTAGCTCTGTTTTAGAATCTTTTTTCTCAGTTTTTAGGTGGAAACTCTTGCCCCACGTTGGGCGCCATTTGTTGCTAGAGTTTTCCTGCCTGGCCCACAGTCAGGACAAATCTCTCTCACCCGCCAGTCCCAAGCCGCTCAAACCCGACCAAGTAAACACAGAGACTTATATTGGTTACAAACTGTATGGCCGTGGCAGGCTTCTTGCTAACTGTTCTTACAGCTTAAATTAATCCATTTTTATTAATCTATACCTTGCCACGTGGCTTGTGGCTTACCGGTACTTTACATCTTCCTTGTCCTGATGGCGGCTGGCAGTGTCTCCTCACTCAGCCTTCCACTTCCCAGCTCTATTCTCCTCCTTGTCCCGCCTATACTTCCTGCCTGGCCACGGGCCAATCAGTGATTTATTCATTGACCAATCAGCAACACATTTGACATACAGACCATCCCACAGCAGTGTGTGTGTGTGTGTGTGTGTGTGTGTGTGTGTGTGTGTGTGTGTGTGTGTGTGTGTGTGTGTGTGTAGGGCAGGGGCTGGAATTACACTTGTGTTTGCTGTGGTGCACAGGTGGAAGTTAGAGAACAACCTGCAGGGAGTTGGTTCTTCCTTCCTCTGTGTGGGTCTTGGTGCAAGCACTTTTATCCATTTGAACCATCACTGAGGCTACCTGACCTTAAGTTTTAAAGCATTCACTCTAGATGCCATGTTGAAATAGCTGTAAAGGTAGAAGCAGGTGAACTAGTTTACTATAGTAGTTACCCTGAAAAAAGTGGCAGTCGCTCATAGTATTGCACATGACAGGAAGTGATTGGATTTTAGATACAGCTTCAAAATAGAATTGGTAGAATTTGCTTAATGAGTGTATTATGGAGTGTGTGGTGGGTTAATCCTACTGTCAACTTGATGGCATTTAGAAATGGTATGGAAACAAACCTCGGGCATGTCTGAATGGGATTTTCTAGATTAGGTTAATTGAGGTAGGAAGGCTCACCCTAAATGTGGCCTGGGGCCCTAGACTGAACAAAAAGGAGAAAGGGAGCTGAGCTGCAGTATTGTCTATGTTTCCTGACTGGGTCCAAGGGAACAGCCACTTGAAGCTCCTGTTGCCATAATGGACCCTCAGACTGAGATAATAGACCCCTTCCTTCCTTCCTTCAGCTGCTTCTGTCAGGTATTTATACCAGCAGTTAATGAAGTAGCTAATATAAATGTGATAGAAATTGATGAGTAAAAATTAATTTTTGGTCTAAACAATTATCATCATGGATTTGCCATTAACTTAGACAAGAATGATTGAAAGAGAATCAATTTTGAGGAATAATAGGGATAAATAGTTTGGATTTAAACATGTATGTTAAGTTTGATATTCTTTGTAGACACCTAATTGGTGGTGTTGAGTAGGTATTATGTGAGTTATATAAGTAAGTCAAGAGCATTACTAGACTTGAGGTACGAATTTGGGAGTTACCAACATTGATTATATTTAAAGCCATGAGATTAGTAGAAATTGTGTGGACAGTGGACATTCTAACATTTAGAAGTGAGGAAGCAGCAATCAGGAGGCTGAGGCAGGCAGATCTTTGTGAGTTCAAGGACAGCCAGGGAGGGCTATTACAGGACAAGCCAGAGAAACCCTGTCTTGGGGGGCGGGGGGAGTGAGGCAGATGAATAGGATGAGAAGAAGCTTTGGGAGAATGCTTAGTAAGAGAAGAGGATAACCAAGGAAGAAAGGTGTCTTGGAAACTAGGTTAAGTTGAGGAAGAAGAATCTCTGGAAGAGAATTAGAGGAACTGAAGGGTAGTCCTCTTTCTTGTCCTTTGGCATAAAATGGAGGAGAGAAGTGAGGTAGCACCAAGAAATACAGATTGGGGTATAGACATAGCATTCGGGGTTCTAGAGTTGCTTGTTTTATTAATTAGATAAGTAATTGTTTTGGATTAAATGGAGGGGCATTTAGTATAGTAGTATCTGGAGAAGAGAGGATACATGTAATTGGGAGCGTTAACATAGGTAGAGAGATGGAAAATATGAATAAAAATAAAGATATTTGCAGATAAGATGTGGAGCATATAAAATATTTTTCCAGTTCTTTTTATTTTCTGTGAAATACAAGTAGTCATTAGCTGAAAGTAAGGATAGAAATTACCACTGAATAGGTAATTTCTCTATTCTAATACTACAGATGAGAAGATAAATTCACTTTACAATTATTCTTTGCTAGCTCACTTTAGTATCTCATAGCCCCATTAAATCCTTAAGCAACAATTTAAGATAAATTGTAAAGAATTACTTGGTAACACTTGTATATGCAAGTGCTGTACATACTGACACACTGTGATGTGCTATTGTTATCCCCAACCTGTAAATGAATAACTGATACTCCAGAGGGATTAAGGAATTTGCCAAAAATCTTATAATAGAGGTAGTGCTTAAACTCCAATATACACAAATAAAAACTTGTAGTAAGCCGGGCAGTGGTGGCGCACGCCTTTAATCCCAGCACTCTGGAGGCAGAGCCAGGTGGATCTCTGTGAGTTCGAGGCCAGCCTGGACTACCGAGTGAGTTCCAGGAAAGGCGCAAAGCTACACAGAGAAATCCTATCTCGAAAAACCAAAAAAAAAACAAACTTGTAGTAAAAATATACTGAAGAATGTATGTTCAGATTTACATTGTGAAACAAAGGGCCGGGGAGATGGTTGGGTGCATTAAGGTACTTGCTCCTGATCCCCACCTGACCTGAGTTCCCTTGGGACCTGCAGGATGGAAGGAGAGAACTGACTCCTGCAGGTTGTCTCTGACTTCACACTCACTGCTCTGTGACACACCTGCTCATGCTCGCCCTCCCGCGCGCGCTCGCCCTCCCTCCCTCCCTCCATCCCTCCCTCCCTCTCTCTCTCTCTCTCTCTGACACACATACACATGATTGATTGATAGATGGGTGGGTGGACGGACGGACGGATGGGATGGATAGATAGGATGGATGGATGGATGGATGGATGGATGGATGGATGGATGGATGGGTGGGTGGGTGGGTGGGTGGAAGGACGGACGGATGGGATGGATAGATAGATAGGATGGATGGGTGGGTGGATGGATGGATGGATGGATGGATGGATGATGTAAACAAATTTCAAACAAGGTAAAGGTTAAGGGTAAAGTAGAAAACTTAGTTTAATCATAAATAATAATAAAGGATCTCCAGAATAGCATGTAATCATTTGGAAATGTTCTGTCTCTCTAGTTTCTCAGAAACAACCAGAATCCTATAATAGTTAGAGGTCATTTCAGCTTTGCTGCCCTAGGCTTCATGAACACGATTTCTAATAAGACCAAACGTTTCTTACTCCTAGGACTAAGTGATATATTTGTTTGTGATAATCTGTATAACATTAATAATAATCAGTACTGTCACTTAGGACTGGTGAGATAGCTCAGAGAGGAAAAGTGCTATGTAAGCCTGGTGAGCGGAGCTTCAGTCCTCAAACCCATGGTGGAAACTCTCCTCTGATCTCACATGTGCACATGGCACAAGTGTGCTTTCTTGCAAACATGTGCACACTCGCACGCGCACACACACATATTAATAACAAATAAAATGCAAAATTATTATCACTTAATTTTTTAATGATTTTTCTAGACTGGCACAGTGGTGTACACTTGTAATCCCAGCAGTTGGGAGTCTTAGGCAGGAAGATTGTAAATTTGATCTAGGCTGCTACATAGTAAGACCTTCCTTTCAAAACCAAGAAAAACAATCTAGACTGCACTGTAATGAGTAATTTAGGGCTATATCAGGTTGGAGTAATAGTTCATTTGGTAAGTACTTATCTTGTAATAAAACGATTGCCTTGCAAGCACAAGGACCAGAGTTTGATCCCCAGAAGCCATGTTTAATGCCAGGTGTTGTGGCGCACGCCTTTAATCCCAGCACTTAGGAGGTAGAGGCAGACATCTCTTAGAGTTCAAAACAAGCTTGTTCATTATAGCAAGTTCCAGACTGGCCAGGGCTATATAGTGCTACCCTGTCTTTAAAAAACAAATAAGCATTCGGGAGGCAGAGCCAGGTGGATCTTTGTGAGTTCGAGGCCAGCCTGGGCTACAGAGTGAGTTCCAGGAAAGGCGCAAAGCTACACAGAGAAACCCTGTCTCGAAAAAAAAAAAATAATAAAAAAAAATAAACAAACAAAATCACCTTTTTTTTTTTGTTTTTTTTTGTTTTTTCGAGACAGGGTTTCTCTGTGTAGCTTTGTGCCTTTCCTGGATCTCGTGCCGTAGACCAGGCTGGCCTCGAACTCACAGAGATCCGCCTGCCTCTGCCTCCCGAGTGCTGGGATTAAAGGCGTGCGCCACCACCGCCCGGCAAAATCACCTTTTTTAAATAATTTTTTATTTAAAATTTTTTTTGCCTTTTACATACCAACCCGTTCTCTCTCCCTCCCCTTCTCCCGCCCCCCCCCCCCCACCTACTCCCATCCCCTCCTCATAGAGGGTAAAGTGTCAAGCATGTACAAGACATGCAGATAGATCCCTGGGGCTTGCTGGCCAGTCTTGCTGGTGAGCCCCGAGCTAGTGACGTGGAACTCATTTTTCAATTCAAGTAGAAAATTTTAGGTATTTATTGCTTTTCTTTTTCCTCAAATATAATATTCTTATTATTTGGGAATTTTGTACAATGCACCCTGATCATACTTGCTTCCCATTCCTCCTAGGTCCATCCTCCTACCCTTGCACCCAAAAGCCCCACCAAGTCCAATCTGTGTTGCTCATGTATTCACTGGAGCATGGTCAGACGCCCATGAAAGAAAACTGAGCCCTTCCCTACCCCTGCCAGAGGCTATCGGCTGTGAAGAGCTACACATCAGCATCTTTCTTTAAAAAACAAAAACAAAAACATTTTTTTCATTTATTTTACATACTGGCCACAGTTTCCCCTTCCTTCTCTCTTCCAAGGTCTCCCCTCCCCTTCCACCCCCCCCCCCCCCCACACACACACACCCCGGTCTCCAGTCTCCATTCAGAAAGGGGCAGGCCTCCCATGAGCTTGAGCAAAGCTTGGCACATCAAGTTGAGGCAGGACCGAGCTCCTCCCCTTGCGTCAAGGCTGGGCAAGGTAATCCAACATAGGGAACAGGTTCCCAAAAGCCAGCTAAGCATCCGGGACAGGTCCTGATCTCACTACAAAGAGACCAAGCATACACATGCTTAGGTGAGTCCCATGGAGGCTCCCTAACTGTTGGTCCAGAGTCCATGAGCTCCCATCAGCTGTCTCTGTAGGTTCTCCCATCATGACCCACTGGCTAATACAATCCCTCCTCCCTTTTTCAAGCAAGACTCCTGGAGCTAACCCAGTGCTTGGCTGTGGATCTCTGCATCTGCTTCCATCAGTTGCTGTATAGAGTATCTCTGATGACAATTAGGGTAGTCACCAATCTGATTACAGTGGATGGCCAGTTCAGGTACCCTCTCCACTATTGCTAGGAGTATTAGCTGGGGTTATCTTGTGGATTCCTGGTGGTTTCCCTGGTGCCAGGTTTCTCTCTAATTCCAAAATGCCCCCCCCAATCAGGACTCTCTTTCATAACTATCCCCCTCCATCCTGCCTCCAGCCTGCCTCCCACACCCAACCCTCCCAACCTGCTCCTTTAAGATTTCATATCTCCATCCCATCTCCCCCTCCCCCCAGTTTACTCAGGAGATCTCTTCTATTTCCCCTTCCCAGGGAAATCCATGCATCCCTCTTTGGGCCCTCCTTGTTATCTACCCTCTCTGGTTATCCTATACTTTACTCCTACTTATGAGTGAGTACATACCATACTAATACCAATACTCCTCAAATTGTTCCACACATAGAAACAGAAAGAACATTGTCAAATTATTTTTGTGAGGCCACAGTTACCTGAGTATTAGGTACTACACAAAGACTTGACAAAGAAAGACAATTACAGACCAATTTCCCTTGTGAGCATTGATGCAAAAATACTCATAAAATACTGGCAAACCAAATCCAAGAATACATGCAAAAGATGATACACCATGATCTAATATGCTTCATCCCAGAGATGCAGGATGGTTTGACATACAAAAATCTGTCAATGTACAAAAATTACCATATAAACAAACAGAAAGAAAAAATATGATCATCTCATTAGATGCTGAAAAAGCCTTTGACAAAATCTAACACCCTTTCATGATAAAGGTCTTGGAGAGATCAAGGATACAAGTAATATACCTAAACATAATAAAAGCAATATACAGCAAGCCAACAGCCAGCATCAAATTAAACAAAGAGAACTCAAAGCAATTTCACTAAAATCAGGAACAAGACAAGGCTGTCTACTCTCTCCATATCTGTTCATTATAATTCTAGCTAGAGCAATAAGACAGCAAAAGGAGATCAAGGGGATACAAATTGGAAAGGAAGAAGTCAAACTTTCGATATTTGCAGATGATATGATAGATATATAAGTGACCCCAAAAATTCTACCAGAGAACTCCTACAGCTGATAAACTCCTTCAGTAATGTGGTGGGATACAAGATTAACTCAAAAAAAAAAAAAAGTAGCCCTCTTATATACAAATGATAAACAGGCTGAGAAAGAAATCTGAGAAACAAAACCCTTTACCATAGCCACAAATAATATAAAATATCTTGGGGTAACCCTAACCAAACAAGTGAAGGACCTGTATGATAAGAACTTCAAGTCTTTAAAGAAAGAAATTGAAAGAATTGAAGATACTACTTTTCTTAATAGTTCTAGCTACAACCCTCAGAAAGACAAATAGATGGTGTATTCAAGTTTTATTCAGAAATTGTAAGATATAACCTTTAATTTCTTAAGCATATAGCATAAGTTTTATCTTTTTGGGCAATTAATAATTGGCAAGACTGAACTAATAGGCATTTTAGATACACTTAAAACATCATAATTTAATGACAATTGAAAGTATTTCAAGGTTTAATTTAAAATGCTAATTAATTTAGCTTCCAGAAGCTCCACGTTACATTGGTTTATTTTAGGAGCCGCCTGAAGAAAGACTATGATGATTTCCAAAGACAACCCGATCACGATCAGTTTACTAGGGAACTATGGACTACTGAAGACTGTGAAGGGAACCCTGAGAGAGAGCCTCCTAAAGCAGAAATCAGTAAGTCTGTAGATGCAGCAGAACCTCTAGACAACCTGGAGAAAGAGCACGTGGATTCTGGTAGGCATTCAAACTTTTTAAATATAAGCACACAGAGAACTTTGTTTGTTGTGAAGGCAAAAGGTAATGGGGTCAGTGACTGTTGATTGAGGAAGTCTGATAATTTACAGACATACTACCCATATTCATGTAAGCAATTTATTATAGTCGTTATTAATTTTCTAAGAGTCTCTGGAGCCAGTGCCTAACCCTAAGTTATAGATGTGCCGTTGCCTGTTGCAGATCAGACACTGCTCATCTGTTACCCATTTGGAAGCCACTGATCATCTTTTTTTATTGTTACTGCTCTTAAAGCTCTGTTGGTAAAGTTTGCTGTAAATGAATTTGAGAAATCCGTAACATTCTAAAGGTTTTTTAAAGTGAGGTGTGTGGCCAAGGTTGATGGCTGACTAAGACCAAAGTAAACACATCATTCTAATAAGTATGGGTAGCTAAAGCAAATTAAATGTGATTCATTTCAGCTCATCAGTGGCATTCTTTAGTTATATGAGAAGTTAATATGAAAACTTGTGGTTAGTAATATGTTAACATATTTCATATCTTTTGTGAATTGTAAGAGTGAACTTCTTTTGACCAGATAGGACCACAGTTCTTTAAGGATAAAGAACAAGAAAGACTGAACGTTTGTTTTCATTTTTAGTCTGTGAAGACTAAAATACTGAATTGTAACCATTCCTCTATGGTTTCCCTATCTAGAGAAAGAAAACTAGCCAAATTAAACTGAGTATCTTTTTAAAAGCCGTGAGTTTTTCCTTAACACTTAAGCATTGGCAGCAGGGTTAGTCCCAAACGAATCTCAGTAATAAGTTGCTCTTAAGCATAACTGGGATATGGGAAGTCAGCATGTCAAAGGTCACTGTTACCTTCTTTCGTAGTGCTGAAGCTTTGGAATGACTGTACAGTAGACTTTTTAAATTGCCTGCTCAAAGATTGACTTTAATTTTTATAATTGGTGTTACACAGTCACTGTTTTCTATAAATAAAATGCTTGTTTTTACAATTTTCAGATGATATGAAATTATCAGAAATAGGCTTTCCTTTGGCCAGAAGCAAGTTGTTGAAAAAAGAATTGTCTTCTAAAGATGTAGTGAAGATACTGCCTAAAACACTTAAGCGACAGTCCAAACAAAGTAGTTATCTGGATGATAGCACAAAAGAGCTTTCCCCAAGGAAGAGAACAAAGCTCAGCACAAATGAAACCGCACTTGAAAATGTAGAAGCTGATATGCAGATAGACTGTTTGAGTGAGTCAAAACATACAGAACTGCCATTTTCGGAGTCATTGGCCTCAAAGGATTCAGTACCAGTGTCCACTCTCCAGAAAGGGACCAAACCTATTCAGGCCTTGCTTGCAAAGAATATTGGGAACAAAGTGACCTTAACAAATCAACTGCCCCCTTCCACAGGTAGAAGTGTTCCTGCTGTGGAAAAGCCAGCTCTATCTCCTGTAGAAACAAGCACCGTAAAACCAGCCTTGACCTGCCTCACCAGTACAAAAGGACCTTTACAGATGGTATACAAAATGCCCTGTGGTCAGTGGTTGCCAGTCGACCTCCACAATAGTTCTGTCAAGATTCAGATGCAGCCTGTGGTGGATTCTAAAACAGGAGAAAAGATCATGCAGCAAGTTCTTATTCTGCCTAAGAACTTTGTGATTCAGCACAAAGAGGGGAAAGCAGTTGCAAAAGAGCTAGCAGCACCCCAGCAGAAAGGTGCAGAGCATTGTTCATCTTGCCCCCAGACAACAAGTGTGACCTGTTCTTTCGTGTCTGTTCCTGTCACGTCAGGAGGGACAGTTTCTACCCAACTGCCTGGTACAGTTTTCAGTAAGACAGTTGCAGCTTCATCAAATGTGAGTGCTAGATCACAACCGTTGTCACCTGTGACCTCCGGAGGGAATGTGTCAGTGTCCCCAGTGAAGACTGGCCAGAGTGAAGCAGTTTCGTCGGCCTCCTTCCCCCAGCCTCTCACTTCAGCCACCATTTCTTCAACAGTTCAGCCTCTCTTACCAGCAGCACCACTAACTGAGTCTACAGAGCCTGGCCTTTCCCTCCCCTCTTCCTCACAGCACACTCTCGATTCTTCTGAAGCAAAGCAAGAACTGAAGACCGTGTGTATAAGAGATTCCCAGTCGATTCTTGTTAGGACGCGAGGTGGGAACACTGGAGTTGTCAAAGTACAAACTAACCCAGAGCAGAACTCACCCACCAGTTTATCTTCCAGTTCTCTCTTCACCTTTGCGCCTCACCTTCAGGCCTTTCTGGTGCCAAAGTCAACCTCATCCCCTGCTTTTTCACAAGTAACTGGAAGGACTGCTGCATCTAATCTCCCATCTTTCAGTCAAACACCTACTTGTGTTTCTATTTCATGTGGCTTTCATCCATCCGTGGGGAAAAATTTCAAACCTATATTAAGCCAACCCTCCAGCAGTGGCTGTGTGGGCCCCCTGATAGAAAAAACCTCCTACATGCCCTCTTCACCCTTGAAGCCCTCTGTTTCTTCCAGCTCATTGCTACCATCAACAGCAAATAGTTCAGTTAGTGTAATTAGCATATCACCAGGAAATTTCGGACAAACCAATCCGAATGTTATTCATACATCAGCTAAACCTCAACAAGTAGATTACATCACAAAAAGCTACTCAGTTACAAGATCAGAAGCAACAGCAGCAATAAATGGAGATGTGCTCAGTGAGACTCCTGTTCAGAAACTTATGCTGGTATCAACTCCATCTGCTCTTCCTTCTAGCAGTGGACCTTCAGTTAATATGGCACCAGCACCAACATCTACGAGTGTTTCTACCCAGAAAGTAGTTTTCATTAATGCTCCAGTTCCTAGTGGCACTTCAGCCTCAGCTATTGTTGCAGAATCATTAAAACAGACACTTCCTCCTCCCTTGAATAAAACATATGTTAAGACTCCAGAGCAACCCCAAATAGTACTAATTCCGTCTACAGTGGGAACACCAATAAAAATAAATTCTTCACCAACTGTGTCTCAGATTAAAGATGTGAAAATTGGACTGAACATAGGTCAAGCAATTATAAACCCTCCAGGAAACCTGCCAGCGATACCATCAGTTAATATATTGCAGAGTGTGCTGCCAAAAGGAGAAGACAGAAGTAGTAAGGGCCATGGTTCACCCTTGTCCACAAGTGGTGACTCAGTTCCAGCAAGCTCAAATACTGTGAATCAGAACCTTCCTCCTGTTAATGAGTCAGTAGTTTCTACAGCAAGAGCTACAAACAGGTTTTCAGGAACAGGAGCAAATGTACCTTTGAGTTCCCTTTCAGTGACCTCATCCTGTGCTTCAGTTGGGACACGACCTCCTGTCTTAGTCAGTGGCAATGATACCTCTTCAAGAATTATGCCTGTTTTGTCAAATAGACTCTGCCCGTCAAATCTGGGAAACACTGTGGCTATATCAACTGTAAAAACAGGACACCTTGCGTCATCTGTTCTCATTTCAACTACACAACCAACAGTGTCTCCTAAATGTTTGCCGTCAGCCTTGCAAATCCCTGTTACTGTTGCCCTGCCTACACCTGTGACTACGTCTCCAAAAATAATCAACACAGTTCCACATTCGGCAACAGTACCAGGAGCCACACGCCCTGTATCTCTTTCCAAAAGACAGTCTCGGACCTCTCTCCAGTTTCAGTCGCCAGGGCCTTCAACTACAGTGCCAACAAATGCAAACACAAATAAACCTCAAGCTGAATTACCATCCCTCTCACCAAGTCCAGGTAAAATAACTAATACTTCCAATATTACATCTATGCCAAACCAGCATATGCCCCCTTCGTTAGTAAAAACAAGTCCCAGTAACAATTCTACTGTAGGTGGCTCTGCCATTCACACTTGTGCACCGCCATTAAATATAACTAGTCTGGCAGGTGCTCCATTCAGTGACCCTTGTATTCAGCAAAAAATAGTTATCAACACCAGTACACCTTTGGCACCAGGTACTCAAATCATGATGAACGGAGCCCGGTTCATTGTTCCACCACAAGGTCTTGGAGCTGGTAGCCATGTCCTCCTCATCTCTACTAATCCAAAATACGGACCTCCTTTAGTTATTAACAATGCCCAGGGCATACCGGCTACACCAGTAGATAACCCTGTCCAGAAGACCATACAGACATCAAATAATTCTTTAAGTGGGCAGCCTTTAAAGCATTCTGTAAGAAACTCGACAAAGATTGTAAACTGTCTTGGAAGCCCAAGTTCTCTCTCTACAGTACATTCAACACCACAAATCGTAACCACACCTGCTAAAGTTTATGTTCCCCCTGCACCAACGGTGCCATTGACTTCGGTAATGAAGTCCTCTCCAGCTGCTCTTTTGACGAAGACATCTTTGGTTTCTGCCATTTCCTCCAATAATCCTCCACTGCCAAGTAGCACATCGGTGTTTCATTTGGATACCTCTGTCAAAAAGTTATTGGTTAGCCCAGAAGGAGCCATTTTAAATACCATTAATACTCCAGCATCTAAGGTGTCTGCGTTGTCTTCATCTCTTCCTCAAGCTGTTGTGTCTGCTAGTCAAAATCCTGCCTCTGTCTTCCCTGCTTTTCAGTCACCTGGTTCAGAGAAGCCTGACACAGCTGCATCTCGAGTTTAGACTAAATGAGCCAGTTTTTAAATAATGGGGCATTGTTTTAACTCCCACAAAAATTTTAACTGTTTGTTATACTGTTGAAAACATGCTGTTCATATGTGTGTGTGTATGTGTGTGTGTGTGTGTGTGTGTGTGTGTGTGTGTGTGTGTGTGTGTATGTGTGTATGTGTGTTAAGGTATCTCCATTAGCTTGCACAAGACTTTGTTTTCTTGGGGAGGGCAAAGTATACCATTTCACTCATTGGTGTAAAGATATTTTCCAAGGTTCTTTGTTCAAAATATGTCATCGAGATTTACCTGTCTATATAACATAAATTGAATAAAGTCAAGTTTGACTAGTTTAAGTAAGCTAGCCTTTACATAATTATATCGATGTTTCTTCTTAAATTTGGACTGTTGTGATGTATCTACCGTATACTATTCTTTGTCATTAGTGACATCTTATTTTTGTTTCTGTAAAAAGAATATATATATATATATATATTTATGCATTAAGAAAATGCAGTCCATGATGTAAAATTGTACATATTCCTTAAATCCCTAATAATCTGTTCTAAATATATGTACAAAGAACAATACTGTCTTATTTATGTTTTGTTTACATAATGTATAGTTTTTTAAGTATTTTAGTAATTTTGGACCAGTGAACTGTTAGCAACAATGCAGAAGAATCTGCATATAATAAAGTGAGTTGCTGTATTTCTTTGTTTGAATACCATTTTTAAAATGTGTTCTTGTCCATTGAAAGAATACATGGTATAAATGAAAACAGTCCTTTAAAAAATGTGTTCAGATTGGAAGTATCTAGAAATAGTAGCACTTGCACAGGCTTTGCACTTGACAGAGCTTCCTTTCTTGGATCTACTTGGATCTTCACAGTCATCTTGGGAGCTGAGTAGCATGTCCACACTTACCAGGTTCATGGGAAGTAGGGCCAGGACATGATCTGATGCTTCACAGTCTTTCTCCATAGTTCTACTTTACTTTTGGTTTGAAGTGTTCATTCACAATTTTATGGTTCCAGACATTTAAAAAGAATAGGAAAAAAAAACCCACCAAATCTGTATTGACCAAACAAATGTGTGTTGTTGTTGTTTTTAGATAAGAATATTTTGGTTTATGTCTATACATCCAAAACATGTTTCTTAAAACTTTTTTTTTAAGGTTTCTCTATGCCCCTAAACAGGCCTGGAACTTTCCATATAGCCCAGGCTGGCCTTGCCTCAGCCTCCTGAATGTACCAGGATTACAGATAATGTCCTACCATGCCTGGCAAACTTATTTTTTAATGATCTGGGTTCATAAGAGGTTGCAAAAGTAATGCAGAGTGGTGATGTTCTTTACCTTCCTTCTCCACATTTCTGCTTAAATTGAGGTCTTGTTCATTGTTACTGATCTTCCAAAACGATGTCTAAGAACATGAATTTCTCTGTCATTTGGAATTAAAAGTGAGCAAAACTAGTAGTGCTCTTTCTTCTTTTCCACATGCTATGGAGCAGCTGCTGAAATTCTCGTGTGAAGCCGCTGCTGTTGCTCAGGTGGTTTGACTCAGGGCTTGACTTTGCTTGAGAATGTGCTTCATTGTAAATAAAAGGTAGCTTTGCACTTCCTGGAGCTTTATATCTGATTATCTTACTGACATACTGATACAGACACAGTCAACTTCAAGTATTCAGACCCTTCACAGCGTTCTAGTCTCAAATGTAAAATAGTAGAGTAGGCTTGGGCCTATGAGATAACTTAGTGGGTAAGGGTGCTTGCCACCAAACCAGAAGACCTGCTTTCAATCCCCATGTCCCACATGATCGAAGGAAATAACAGGCTTGAGCAAGTTGTTCACTGACCTCTACATATAAATACTACTTTAGGATATTTTTCATTATTAAAAAAAAAAAAGTGGAGAGATAGCTCAGTGGTTGAAAGCACTTGCTGCTCTTCCAGAGAACCTGAGTGCATTTCTACTACCCATACCTGACAGCTCACAACTGCCTGTAACTCTAGCTCCAGGGGATCCAGTACCTTCCTCTGGCCTCCATAGGTACCCACACAACACCCACATACATAAATAGAAGAGAAAAAGAGGAGGCCTAAAGATTTCCATTCAGATTGTATCAAAATAATGTTATTAAAGTGGAAAGGACAATGAGTGTTCTAAAATGTTGCTCAGATTTCTCAGACAATTGTTTTATACTGATGACATAACTCAATGGTAGAGTGTTTGCCTAATTTGTACAAGGTCATGGGTTCTACTCCTAGCACCACAAAAGAGAGAGAAGAAAAATCACTTAGTGTGGAAGGGAAAATGGAATCGTTTTTGTCAGTGTAGGTTAGGCTAGCCCCAAACTCTTGATCTAGCTTCCAGAGAACCCAGATTCAATTCCAAGCACCCACATGGCAGCTCACAACTGCCTATAGCCCCAGTTCCAGGGCTCTGACACCCTCACACAGGCAAAACACCAGTGCAATAAAATACATATATAAATCATTTAGATAAATAAAACTTTTTGTTTTTCTAAATAGGGATTCTGTATGTTAACAGTTCTGGCTGTCCTGGAACTTGCTGTGTAGACCAGACTGGCCGTGAACTCACAGAGATCCACCTGCCTCTGCCTCCCAAGTGCTGGGATTAAAGGTGTGTGGGGGGGGACCATAACATCTGGAAAAGAAGAAAGAGCACTACTAGTTAATTCCAGCACTCGGGAGGCAGAGCCAGGCGGATCTCTGAGTTCGAGGCCAGCCTGGTCTACAAAGCGAGTTCCAGGAAAGGCACAAAGCTACACAGAGAAACCCTGTCTCAAAAACCAAAAACAAAAAAATTTTTTTAAAAGGTGTGTGCCACCACTGCCCAGCAGAACTGTTTTTCAATGTGTCGTATTACACATGGATGGTACTTATTCAATGAATATGTTTATATGCCCAATTTATAAAGCAAAGTAACCTAACACTTCACCTGCCGTCTCAAAAGAATTCTCTAAGCTCTTTATAGAACCTAATTTACTAAATTACTGTGGCCTAACTTCAGTCCCAATGGAGACTAAAGAACTGGAACTAACCACTGAACTTGTTTCCAATCCCCAAATCCAGAATTTTGATACAATCTTGAAAACTCAGTATGAGCTACTGACTCCCTGGAGTGAAGCCTTGATTTTGGCTGTCAGGTGTATGATTTGCCTGCTTCTCATTCCTCTCACCGTACTGGGCTGTAGTTTCTAGAAAGTTGGAGACTTATCTCCCTTCTCTGACTTTAAAGCTTGATTATAGCTTCTCATTGCTCAGTATCTCCCTCTCACTGCCATACCACAGCTACCATGATACTGCAGTCACGTATAGCCTGAGAGCAGCACTCCTTCACAACTATGTATTTGCCTGCTGTTTTTAAGAGGGACCTCTTCAGTCACTATCATCCCAGCCATTAGCACATGGTATGCAATACGTATTTGTTGACTAGAGTTAGGTAGCTTTTTATCTGAAGGCCTAGTTTACTTGGTTTTGAGGTGATAGAATTCTTGCCTAGCGTGTGTGCATGAGGACCTGAATTCAGACCCCAACGCTAAGGAGGCAGGAAGATCAGAAGTTCAAGATCCTTCTCGGATACATAGTTGGAGGCCAGCCTGAGATACATGAAGCTGGTCTCTAAGAAATGAAAAGGCTGACCCAGTCTTCAGTTTCAGAATTTTCTCAGACTCCGAAGGTTGAATTGCATTTCAATTTCCCATCCTCACAGTTTTAGGTTTTGTTAAAAATTATTTCCACCTAAAGTTCTTATGACACAATATAGTTTTGCCATCACTTGAGATTAAGGAATTTTGATGTCTCAAGAGACTGAACTGTTGAAGTCAAGCCATAAGATGAAAATGTTGAGGACTCCTTCCTGTTCCATTGAAGATGTGAGATATCTTCAAGTCAAGTAGGCCTCTCCAGATGTTTACAAGTGCTAACAAGCTTAGCATTTGTAGCTTCAGGTACAGTAATTTCATCAATTATTAAAGTCAGTCTTACTGTCTAACTGATTTAATGATAGTTGATAGAATTTTGGCGAGTTTTTCCTTAAGTTAATATGCCTGCTGTTTACCGTAGCAGTAATCATAGTGCCCGTATCGATCTCCATGGGAGTCTGTAGCAGCCTGAGCCTTGGATTCAAGCAGTCCACGGTATCAGGACTGGAGGAGAGAAGAAAGGCAATTCTATAAAATTGTTCTGTAACTTTGTTCAGCCCACCTCAGTGAAGATGGTGTGACTTGTACGTGATATTTGGCTAACTGGAAAAGACTACTCCTAGTCAGAGGAAATGAGTCATGAGTTCTGGCCACTCTCGTCCATCTGGCTCTCGGAAAACGAGATGAAAGCAGCACCATACCCTGAACCCTTCTCTGTCTGCAAGTGGGCACACTGCCGTGGAGGCTTGATCTCCTAGGCTCACATTTTCTTCATCAGTAAGCCAATCCTACAGAGATGACAAGGACCTCCCCTCCCTGAGGCCGTTTTCTCCTTGCTGTAGCACGAATCTTAAAAGGTCTTACTAATAAAAACAAACCCGGAGCCAGGTATTGGGGTGAACTCTGAAAGATCAGAGAAACAGAACAAGCCACAACCAACCTCACCTTGCCAACTTCTCAGCTGATCTTGTTTCCTCAAACTGGAAGCCTCTGAGTCCTCATCTGAATAGATCTCAGCTGAACTGCTGCTTAAAAGCCCCAAAGCTTAAAAAGCCTCTAGTTCCTGGTCCTCATGCTTTATGTACCTTTCTGCTTCCTGCCATTATTTCCTGGGATTAGAGGTGTGTCTTTCCCAAGCAAGACATGAGATCTCAAGTGCTGGGATTAAAGGTGTGTGTCACCATGCCTGGCCGTTTCCAGTGTGGCCTTGAACTCACAGAGATCTGGATCTCTTTCTCCAGAATGCTAGGATAAAAGGCATGTGCTACCACTGCCTAACCTCTATGTTTAATGTAGTAGCTGTTTTGTTCTCTGACCCCCAGATAAGTTTATTGGGGTGCACAATATATCAACCACACCTTGCTTTTTCAGTCCAGGCATCAAAGGCCTCGAAATCCCAAATTCAGAGCCTCAGCATAGTGCTTAGTGGTCTTTAGTGTCAGAATGCCGGTCTTAACATTCATGGATTTTCTGTGAAGCTGTTTTCTGATTCAGTGTGAGCATTTCTATGTGGGCTAGACTTCTCCCGTTGTTAACAGGCAGACTCCTAGCACCATGTGCCACCTCTGTCTTTAGCAAAGGGCTCTCAGGGTGGCCTGCAGTTGATTGTGAATCCAAGGAGTAGTCTTTAGAAGTAGGGCTACAATTTTGTACCTCCTATTTCTTTCAACAAACACTAATTTCTCTCTGGCGTACTCAGCCCAAGCCTATTGTCTGTCATCCCTGACACTCTGAAGGACACTGAGAAGCTTTCCTCATGGAAAAGAGATTTGTCAGTGTCTTAACAGTGTGGGAGGCTGGAGAGGCCTGGGCATCAAGCCGGAGGTCCCTCTGAAGATGCGAATGAGGTTCAAAGACCTTGTGAAGCAGGGGTTGGGGTCACAAAATTCCTCTTCATTAGAATTCATGTATTTGAAAGGAGAATGGTATTTTAAGTGATAAGATAGAACAGGAAAGGCACAAACATTTTAGTATCTCATTGAATGTCATTTTTCTGTTGTGTTTATCCCTTTAATCTTTTTTTTAATATTTATTTATTATGCATACAGTGTTCTGCCTGTACCTATCTCTGCAGGCCAGAAGAGAGCACCAGATCTCATTACAGATGGTTGTGAGCCACCATGTGATTGCTGGGAATTGAACTCAGGACCAGCTAGTGCTCTTAACCTCTGAATCATCTCTCCAGCCCTATCCTTTATACTTGTCTTTGGTAGACATGGTCTTGTTAATGTTATGCTTATGTTTCTGGTGACAAAAGGTATTTTAGATGATTTATTGACAGCATTAAATAAGAAAGAATCATATAGTGAAAAAAAAAACATTTCTTTAAACAGCATTGAGTTCTCTATGGGTCTTAATGTCTCCAACAAAGCAAGCAGGTCTCCGGCTCAGATCTTTACAGCCCTTCAGTCTTCTAGGTTTTAATTTAAAAGCAGCCTGTTTTTATTCTCACTTTCATTTTGTAGCTCTACCTAGGAAAGTGACATCTTTGCATTTAGGGTGAGCTAGGTGTTAAAGGGCACCGGGTTCATGAACAGGAGCTGACACGGTTACCCTTCAGAAACTGTGAGGAACGGGAGCCCCAACTGGGTCCTTCAGGGTTCTTCTGTCCCAAGGAACATGAGACCAAAAGCACCTTGGGGAGGACAGGGTTTGTCTGGCTTACACTGCCACATCACAGTCCATCACTGAAGGAAGTCAGGACAGGAACTCAAACAGGGCAGGATCCTGGAGGCAGGGCTGATGCAGAGACCAGGGAGGGGTGCTGCTTACTGACTTATTCCTTATGGCTTGCTCAGCCTGCTTTTTTTTTTTTTTTGGTTTTTCGAGACAGGGTTTCTCTGTGTAGCTTTGTGCCTTTCCTGGAACTCATTTTGTAGACCAGGCTGGCCTCGAACTCACAGAGATCCACCTGGCTCTGCCTCCCGGGTGCTGGGATTAAAGGCGTGCGCCACCACCGCCCAGCAAAGCCTGCTTTCTTATATAACCTACCTTGTGTCAAGTTGACATAAAACTGGCTAACACAAGAAGAGAGCAGGCTTTGAGATCTGAAGAGGAGCTTCGTGTAGAGCCATTTAAATTCCCAGGACAGAGAAGGATTCTGAGTTCTGCACCATGTGACTTAGCCTGGGCTAGATGTGTGCTGAGGGTCACAGAGGCAGCCACTAGGTAGGATCAAAAGTTTATCTTGGAATTGCAAGAGGAGGAAATGGGCTTGCCTCTCCACTGAGACCTGAGCGCAGTCATCTGTCAGTTCTTTCTCCTGGAGTGTAACATGGGGTAGGGGTGGAAGCAGCCTGATTTCTGGCAGAGGGGGAGAAGCCAGCTAGAGGGTCTCTAATCTAAAAGGGCGATCATAAAATTTTGGCCATTTTTTTTTTATAATAGGCTAGGGATGCAGATCAGGGGAGGGATGCAGATCAGGGGATAGAGTGCTCGCCTATCGAGTACGAAGTGCAAGAGTCAGTCCCCAGCACTGCATGAACAGCCTGAGGTTGGAGCACTTGGAAGGTAGAGGCAACAGTACCAGCCTGGTCGCAAGCTACATGAGACCTTGTCTCAATAATAATAATAATGAGCTAACCAAAAAGTGTTATGTAATCGATAATGGGAATGAAAAAGTCACTATGTAAATAATACCACACAAGAATCTCTGGTTCTTTGTCATTTATTCTGTATGCTCCTGTAAGAGTTAGAGAACTCAACAAAACTAAATAGGGGTCAGGGAGATGCCCGTGGGTAGAAGTACTTGCTGTGCAAGCCTGGAGACCTGAGTTTGGAGCACCGGAGCCCTCACAAAAAGCCAGGTGTGACAGTGTGCATCTGTGATCCCAGCATTCCCCCGGAGAGATGGGTGGTAGAGACAGCACTGGCTGGGGGCTTGCAGTTCAGCTAGCCTGCAGTGTGCAGTGCAGTGGCAGAAACGGTAGACCCTGCTTTGAGCTGCCAGGAGGACACTTAAGACAATACACAGACAGCAGCCAAACTGGAGCTTCTTTTACTTTGAAATCCTTACACCACTTTCAAGCTAAACAGAAAATTAACTTACCATTCATTATGAATGTTGAAGTAAATTATAATTAAGACTATTTAATATGTATGGTTTAAGACACAGGCTCTTAGCAACACTATATGGACTCAGTAGGTTTTATGCACATTGCATATATACACACACACACACGTATGTATACATATAAACATATATATGTATACAAGTGTAAGGATAATAATTACAGAAAAGAGACCCTGCTTTGAGAAAGACGGGGGCAGTAAACCCTTTCATCCAAACATCATTATTTTCAAGTATTCCTTGTGGTGAGAGCCAGTCAGGCACTATTATGGTGAGCAAATGCATGGTGCGGTGTGGAAAGGAGAGAGGGACAGAAAGGCTCATGTCCTGTGGACAGAGGCACGTCTGAAGAGGTGAAAGCGGTGAGGAGTGGGCGGAGGTGGGTGGCTCGATTTCCACCCAGGTGATGTCTGAGCCTGAGCTGCTGGTGGGGCCCATGTCTGAGTTCATGGCCCTGATGTAGCTTCAGTCTGTGTTGATGTCCGTGGCTCCTGATAACAACGAAGGCCATGAGGCTAGGGCTGCTCAGACATGGCCTCACCCCTCACTGGCTGCAACACTGGGGAGAACTGATCCTTCCCCTCACCAGCTGAAGCATTTAGGAGAGAGGGTCCTACACCTCACCTGGGTGTCACAATAGAGCTGACCCAGTTCAGCATGGGTGAGGTGGCCCTGAGGGCATGAGAATGGGAGAGCAGGTCACACCCCTTGTGTGCCATATGGTGGCGAAGGCGAGGGAAAGATACCCTCCCCCCTTGCCACTGCCACCTCTTGGTGGACAAGGGAGCTTGCCCTCCCATTACCAGCTGCAGCACTCGGGAAAGTGGACCCTGCACCTCACTGGGTAGCACAGTAGAGCTGACCCTATTGACTGAGGTGCAGATGAACCAGCTGAGAATTTGAGCATAGGCGATCAGGCCCCGCCCCTCACCTGCCATATGGTGGCGTGGGTGTGGGGAGAGGGCATCTCTGTGGCAGGTGAGAGAGATGTTCCTGAGGTCATAGAGCAGGAGAGCTGTCTCTGCACCTCACCTGAGCAACATGGTAGAGCTGGCCCTGATGATGTAAGTATGGGAGAGCGCTCCTGAGGATGTGAAAGCAGAACTGGTCCTGACCCTTGCTCTTTGCTATGAGGGTGAATGCACAGGGAGGGAGGGGGGATGCTTGAGAGTTCACCCTGGTCCTGAGGACGGGGAATGCTGGCAGGCCAACCAACCCTGCAACTACCCAGGCCCAGAACCAGGGTTATGAGTTGGCCCACCCCATCGGTGATCTGCTGGAGCAAATGAAGGGGCCAGTCATGCAGGATCTCCATGACACAGGGCAACAACAGGATATCCAAGAGGAATCCTAGTGAGGGCCCAGCATCAATAGTGTAGCAGAAACCAGAGGCCTCCAACCACACCAATGCTCTTTGCAACGAACACTTGCAAGTAAAGATGTATGGATAAAAGGGTTTACTGTGTGACTCACTATGTCACAATACACCTTCCATGATGAGATTCTTTTCCTTTTCTTTTTTTCCTTTTTTTTTATTCCTTTTAAACTTTATTTTATTGGGGGGGGAGGTTGCAAGGTCAGAGAACAGATACGAAGGGACAGAAATAAATGGGATCGAGATGCATGATGTGAAAGACACAAAGAATAAATAAAGTTAAAAAAATCTTTTCTTCACAAAGAAATCAGGTGCTCCCAGGTCATCCATTAGAGTTTACCCCTCAAAATGATGATGATGATGATGATGATGATGATGATGATTTAATAGTATTACTTCTGGGACAGATACTATGCATTAAAATGTTTATTGAAGTGTTTCCCAGGTTCATATTTCTCACCATTCCTCACTATTTCTCTGGTTGCCCTAACAAGAACGTAACACTGGCCTGTTAGTAGAGACGCACATTATGTAGCATTCTAAAGAAAAGCACGGGTGTCTACCAGCCTTAAAGCGAAAGTGTGAGGGGAATCATCTCAGCATTCTTGGCCCCTTGCTGGCGCTCAGGGTGCATATGGTGGTGGTGACCGGTCTGAAGAGAGCTTCTCATAGGCAGGTGGAGCGTTGGGAACCTGTGAGAATGAAGAGGGGAGAGTGAGCTCGGCAACAGAGTGCGTGTTCTGGGGAGGGAGGAGGCAACAGTTTGCATCACGTTTATCCTTTGCTCTGGACTGAAGCTTCTAAATGTTCATACATATTTTTTTGTGCAATGGGATAGTTGTTAAATTTTGCAAATGCATATGTTGAAACATTGGCAGGAAGGGAAAATGAGAAGAGAGGCTTCCCAAAACCTGAAAGTGTATTTATGCCCAGATTGCTCATGTCAGAGTTTCCAAGTCCTAACTAAAGAACATTGAGTTAGTTAGTCACTTATTTTGTTTATAGGGGCAGCACCTGTGCCACAGCACACATGTGGGTGTTAGGGAATAATTTGGGGGAATGGGCTCTTTCTTGTTACCAGGTGGGTCCCAGGGATCAATCTGGTTTGGCAGCAGGTATCCATTGAAGCAACTTGCCCGCCCATGAATTCTTGAATCCTGTGTGGCACTCAACAAACCTGCCGTCTTCACCACACATTTCCCTGTTAGTTGTGTCTAAAGGCATATTTAAGGCTGGGGGGAGGGGCAGCTCAGTGATGGACATCATCCAAAGACGACACCATGGAGGTTGGGGAGACACATTTGTCTACCAGCTGAGCACAAATGTGTCAGTCACTCAGTTAATGCTCACAATTCTAGGAGATGTTGTCAAGTGGAAAATGGGGCATAGGAAAGTCACTTGCCCTAGGTCACAAATAGTCATGGGGCTAAGAATCAAACACAGTTATCTGAGTCAATAGTCAGTGTCCATTACTTTGCTATCCCTAATGTGCACCACTGCTATAGAGCACAAATGCATGCAAGTCACAGGCGGAACTTAAGTTCGTAATAACCTCACCTTCAGAAAGCAGGTGAATCAGATAAAATACTTACGGTGGTCAAACTACAGTCATTTCAACATGAAATCAATAAGTCAGTATTCTTTTCACGTGTTCTGTCTCTGAATATATGTCACAAAACTACTTTCAAACTACTGTTTCAAGTGTTTAATACATGTGGTGGGGGCTCAGTTCTATAGAAGAAAATAATGCTGTGGATCTTACATGTAGGGCTCTCATTATTGACTGTGAAATCTAAGTATAAGAAGATACAACTTAAGAAAACCTACTTCCCATTTTGTTTACTTTTATTATAGAATATACAAACCAAAAATGATCACTTTGGCCTTTCTGGAGGAGGGGCAGTCGTATGGATTGAATCCAGGCCCTCGTGCATGCAAGGCAAAGTGCTCCACCATGAGCTACGGTTCCAGCCCTAATTTCGACCATTGTTGGTCAATTAAGAGTTGAGTGACATTCAGTATATTCACATTGCCTTTTCAGTGGAAATCACTTTGTTCATTTGAGTTGAAAGCAGCTGGCATGAAAATGCCCGGATGCACAATCTCCACCTACCACAGGCTGATGGGTTTTTTCTTGAAAAGCCAATGGACTGTCCTGATGACCAAGACCATCACATGAGTATTGTTCACTCGGGCATCTTCCCTTCAGGATACTTTGAGTACCAGCATGTAGCCTTTTTTCCTGAAATATAAAGTCATGAAAAATGAGTGGTTTAAAAAACACAAAAAGAACTGAGTCCCTTAAAGCAAAGAGAAAGGGACCAGGTTTTAAAATGGGCTTTAAGCTAGCTGCTGCCACTCACTTGCTGTGGGTCCTCGGGCCACTCCCTTTCCTCTGTGAATTCCGGTTGTTAGATCTGTGATAGCAGGATGGTTAACCCCACTTCTCAGAGTTGTTGGGGTCAACTAAAGACAGCACTAAGGCAGTGCCTGGCACCAGCCGACCCTCACTGAGGAGTTTTGAAGAGAAAGGGAAGTCTGAATCTACAAAATGAACAATTTATGAAATTGTACTTCAAAAATAAGGAGATGAGCCGGGCGGTGGTGGCGCACGCCTTTAATCCCAGCACTCGGGAGGCAGAGCCAGGCGGATCTCTGTGAGTTCGAGGCCAGCCTGGGCTACCAAGTGAGTTCCAGGAAAGGCGCAAAGCTACACAGAAAAACCCTGTCTCGAAAAACAAAAAACAAAAAACAAAAAACAAAAAAAAAAAATAAGGAGATGGGGCTAGGGAGATGGCTCAGTGGTTAGGAGCATTTACTTTTCTTGCAAAGGACGCAGGTTCTGTTCCCAGCACTGGCATGATGGTTCACTACCATCCATCACTCTAGTTCCAGGGAATCCAATGTCCCCCTTCTGGCCTCTGTGGGTACTACATGCATGTGGTGCTGCTCTTTCATCCATGTAGGCAAACATACACATCAAAATAGAGGAGGGGGGAGAGGAGGGGAGAGAGAGAGAGAGAGAGAGAGAGAGAGAGAGAGAGAGAGAGAGAGAGAGAGAGAGAGAGAGAGAGAGATATGGGGCAGTTAGAAGCATTTACTACTCTTGTTAAGGGCCTATGTTCAATTCCCTGCACCTACATTTGGTGGCTCACACTGTCTGTAGCTCCAACCCCAGGGAGACCCTCTTCTGGCCTCTACAGACACAGACACTTCTCATGCACATACCCACAAATAGACACACACATACATATAATTTGAGATAAAAATAAACGTAAAAGATGATGTGTGAAGTAAAAACTAAGAAACATTTTTTTTTCTTCATGTTTTTTTGTCATGACTAGGAAAAATTAATCTAAGGTCACCAAGCAAGTCCAGGGTGGACAATGAAGCCAAATCTTGATGCCCTACAACTGAGTGACTTTTATGTGACTGTTGAGTCAGGGGACAAGACAGTAAATAACCAATTGCAAGATAATGTCATCACTCCATGCCATAGGTGCACAGGTGGAGTCGGAGGCAGAAAGTGAAGTCCCTCCCCTCCTCAGCGTGGACATGGCATTACTCTATGGGCAGGAGTGCTAGGCTTAGGGCAATCTCCGGTTTTCCTGCAGTTTGTTTGGAGTCTTCTTATCCACACTTTAGTGTGAACTCACTAGGGGACTCTGCTTGGTGATGTGTGGGTCCCAATGTGCCTTGCCTCTTTGGTTTACATTCTGGACCCTCAGCTAAAAAGGGCAATTAGAGAAAGAGACGCAGGTGCCACTTGGTTTCCTGGAAAAGAAACTTTTCAGCTGCAAGGCTACAGATAGCAGGCACTCAAGAAATGCAAGTGTAGCCAGGCAGTGGTGGCGCATGCCTTTAATCCCAGCACGCAGGAAGCAGAGGCAGATGGATCTCTGAGTTCGAGGCCAGCCTGGTCTACAGAGTAAGTTCCAGGATAGCCAGGGCTGTTAAATAAAGAAACCCTGTCTCAAGAAAAAGAAAGGAAGAAAGAAAGAAAAGAAAAGAAATGGGAGTATAATCCAAGCCTGGGGACTGGGGGCATGGCCATGCCAGGAAGGCAGCCTGGGCAGGCACTGGTGGACTTTTGTAAGGGTCTCCCTTCCTCCTGAGAGGACAGAGTGAAGGTTTTCTGCAGCCTTGAGAAGTGTGGGTCAGCATCACAGAGGGTTTACACTCCTGAAAGTTTCAGTCCACTTTGCCATATTTCACCCACCTGAGTTCAGTGCTTTGTGTTTTAGTATGCTTTTGCTGTTTCTAGGACGATGTATATTGATGATTCTATGACAATCTAATTTTGAAGTGATGTGTTTGAAAACCTGCTTGGGGATTTATTATTTTTTTAACAGGTTCTTCCGGGTCACCTTTGGTGGCCTGAACACTCTGCCCTCCTGCCTCAGCCTTCCAAAGTGCTGAAGTTACCACCGTCCCTAGCTAGGGGCTTTAATTTTTTAGTTTACTTATTTAGTTTATGGGTATGGGTATCTTGCCGGAACGTATGTCTGCACAGCACCATGTGCACACCTTTTCCCTGCAGAGACCCGAAGACCCCCTGGGCGTACAGGTACAGAGTGCTGGGAACCACCATGTGAGTGCTGCAGAGGCCCGAAGACCCCCTGGGCCTGCAGGTACAGAGTGCTGGGAACCACCATGTGAGTGCTGCAGAGGCCCGAAGACCCCCTGGGCCTGCAGGTACAGAGTGCTGGGAACCACCATGTGAGTGCTGCAGAGGCCTGAAGACCCCCTGGGCCTGCAGGTACAGAGTGCTGGGAACCACCATGTGAGTGCTGCAGAGGCCCGAAGACCCCCTGGGCCTGTAGGTACAGAGTGCTGGGAACCACCATGTGGGTGCTGGGAGCCGAACCTGGGTCCTCAGAAGAGCAGCCAGTGCACTCAACTGCTGAGCCACCCCTCCTACCCAGTGGCTTTCGTTTTTTGGAGATTTGTTTTTACTATGTAACACTTGCTTTTCCTTTGAGATCACGTGTAAATTTCCCTTTCGTGCTGTGCCTTGCTGGCCTCAAAAAGCCCAGACTTTGTTTTGGAACCTACACAAATGTTCAGGTTTTCAAGGCCCCTTCTAATGTTAGCGGTATGACAAGTTTGCACGTGATCTTTACGGGACCAATAGACAGATAAATGGATGAAGGAAGACTATTCCATGGTGCCCCCGATGCTGCAGGGAGGATGATGCTGATGTGATCATCCTCAGGAAGACCTTGGATACCGTGATATGACAGAGTTAGTATGACAGAGTCAGAAGAACTTGGAATTCGGCAGGGATACAGCTCAGCAGAGGAGAGCGTTTGCTACCCGGGCTGACAAGCTGAGTTTGCTCCCAAGTCCCACATGATGGAAGCAGAAAACCAACTCCAAAAAGTTGTCTTCTAGCCTCCACACCCATACCCTGGCATGTGCATATACTTGCACACACATGCATGGCATCCCCAGAAGTTCAGAGGAAGATAGGACCCTTCAGGGGACCACACTCACGGTCAAGGTTCGGTATCCACTTCGTCTTCTACAATACCAGCAGCCGATGAGCAGAGCAATTCCCAGGACCACAGTCAGGATGCCAATCCCTGCAGCCCTGGGCCAAGAGATAGACACGTCCAACGCAGTTCAGAAACATCGTTCCAGACTGCAATGAAACAACCAACCTTCTCCCTCTTCGTGGTCCAGAAAAGCGTCTTCTAGTCTCCAGATAGTTTGCCATTTTCTACAAAGGGCATCTGACCAGACCTCCAGCTCCAATATCTAAGGACAGGGCCTAGTTTAGGAACACCCAAACCCCAAGATTAATGGGTGCCCTGGCACCTGACCCTTATGTGGACAGCATATTTACCAAAATAGATTAACCTTTTCTTCTCAACACAGCTCTTTTAAAGCATTTTTTCCAACTCAATCCAGAAAATAGAAGTAGAAATGAACACTGACTATGAGCCAGGGTCCTAATTCTGCAGCAAGGAATTCTGCTGCAATCATTATCTCCACGTCACAGAGGAAGAAATAAATTCAGAGGACCAGTGGCTTGCCACCCAGAGCTATCACAAGGCAGAGTCAGGGTTTGAACCTGAGGTTCCCTGTGGCCCTGGGAGAAGAGCCTGAGCTGGATCTAGCGCAGAGTTACGCTGTCACTTATCTGCGTATCTTGTCCTGAGCATCAGGCTGCTGTTCTGAGGCTCTTAGCCAACCGCTGTGTCCTGTGTCCAGGGTTCCCTGGGAAACATTACAGTTTGCTGCAAAGGTCCCAGAAACAGTGGCGTGTGTGTCCCTGCACGGCACTGCCAGTCGGCGTGATACGCCCTGAGGACCGGACACTGGCTGTGACTGTGAACTTGCTAAGAAATGCTCTGCTGAGCTGGGTTATGTGTCCTAGACTGAGTAGCCACAGGGTGCCAGGGTGGACGAAGGAGGGAGTTTTGCCAGGGCCACCTACCCTCATCTCAAGGCTGCCAAGGCATCAAGCTTGTCCTGTCCAACTCTAGATGGGATGGAGAGATCTGGAAGAGGGCTGTTCCAGAGGGAAGCTCTGCCCTAGTGGTGTAGGCCAACCCATGTGTAAGCGCTACCAACTGTGTGACGCAGATCCCCAGGTCCCAGGCATCGGAACCACCTCTGCCACCATTCTGTGCCAGGTGCTGTGCTACCCATCCCCCTTGTTCATTTTCTCTTCTCAGTAATCCTCTGAGCTAGGGAGAGCTCATTTTACAGCTGACATCAGGCTGTCAAAATGCTCAAGGCCACACAGCCAGCACATGGCAGAACCAGCAGAGTAAGTGGAACTGGACAGCCATCAGGAAGCTCTGGGATTCAGACCAGATCTAGGTCCACTGTCCAGTGCTTTCCTGGAAAAAAAAATCCATCTACGATGACACTGTCACAAGGAGTGGCTCTTATGATTGAAGGCAGCTGACACAGTTCCCAGCATGCACGTGCTCTCGCTTCACCCTCTGCTCAGTCTCTGAGCGTCTTGACACAGACAGAGCTCTGTTCCAGCGTCTTATTCTCAGTCACGTTGTACTTAAAACACACACACGAGTGACTGAAAGCATAAAACATCAAAGAATGCCAGACACGCCGCAGGGAGCCGCTGCCCAGCCTAGCAGGGCTCCTCAGTCACTCAGACACTGGCAGCAGTCACCTAAGGTGCAATTGAAGCTCAGATCCTGGGGCCCCCACGCCTGGCCTGAACTGATTCCTCTTGAAGGCAGCACCTAGGAATCTGCATTTAGGCAAGCTCCCTGGATGACTCGTTCCCACTCAGGTGTGTAAGAACCCCTGTCTACTGGGGCTTCAGAGAGAGCCAATGGACAGCAGGTGGCTAGCCCTTTTTGACTGGCTATGGGGATTCACGTCATATCGTTCTTCCTCATTGTACCTTTGGCAGATTTCAAAGGAGGAGAAATATCCTCCAAGCACCTCAGAGATGTATTGCTTCACTGCAGATGTCTCTGCTTCCTCTGTGTCTGACCCTCCCGTTCAAACAGACAACGAGATGAGTAGGGTCCTGATACTGGTGGCCTTGTACGGTGATTTTTTTCGTGTTCTTCTCTGGTCTCTTTCACTACCCTGCACAAAATCGTGTTCCATGATGTTTCAGGTACTCTGTGGTTCCCTTCTTCAAGGACTGAGGTTAAAGGTGTCACTGCATTGTGCTGGGGCCTCGGGTGATGTCAATGGACGTGATGGCATCCATATATGCAGATTGAGTGGGTGTTTTTCTTCTGTGCTGGAACCCGGGACCTCTCTGTGCTCTTGGAAGACACCATAGTACTCTCCTGACCCTGCATAAGCACTTTGGTCAGGATGTAAGAAAGCATGAGCCTCCAGTGAAGGGGTTACTTAACGCGATGCTGAGAAGTCCCAGGTGCCCTTTGTAAGCTTGTCCCCAACTCCAAACCCACCTTCCTATGCCCTGCCCTGGATGCTGGCACTGGACTCTCCAAACCCTACTCCTGCTTTGCCCGTGGGCCTCTGCACAGTGTCCAAGAAGAGTCTCCACGGCAGTTGGCTTCCTGCTCTGTTCAGGCATCATCCATAGCAGCTCTTCACACTGCTAGTCAGCTCAGTCGCCAGCTCGCTCCCTGCCACTCCCAGAACCGGCCTCTCCATGCCCCTACCAGCTGACCAGGGCCCCACCGGCCAGACGCCTGAGCACACAGGAACCAGCAGACAGAATTCCCCTTCAGTCATGTGGGCTCCATTCTGTGGGGTCGCTCCCCTCCATTTTAGGTTCCAACTGCCTTTCCACTTGTCCCCTCAGCCCCAGGGACAGAAGCAGCATCCTGTGGTTTTGGCTGCCCAGTGTTACTCCTGTGGATTTGTCTCCTCGAGGCCCCCACCGGTTCCTCATGCTGAAGGTGAAGTGACTTGCTGGCATCCATCTTCCTTACTAGACCCGGAGAGTAATTTTGCATTGGCTGTGGGTGCCGCTTTACCAGCTTCGCCAGCTGGGAATGATGGCTACCCACCACAAAGGATGACTCAGCTTTCAGCCTGCTGAGCCCACAACGCCTGCCTCCAGCTTCCAGCTTCCAGCTTCCAGCTTGGCAGTTAGAGACACTGATCTCTGGCCTCTCCTCTCTTTGAATGGGATTGTGCAAATATTTGCCTTTGTTAGCCTGCCAGCTTAGTGCTTCGTGGGCAAACAGAGCTGTACTCGAATCCCAACATCACCCCACGTCCCCTAGTCTCTCTGAGCCTCCCCACCCCATACAACACGGCAGGCAGACATGGTGTCATGATATGGAGCATAGAGAGCGGGGCTATGTGCAGTGGGAAATAATGGCCCCAGCCTTCCCTTGGTTTCTCAGTTTGGTTGCGGAACACAAAGATGATGTCATCCCATCCTCACTTAGACAGAGGCAATGTCCAGGGGTGACAGCAAGAAAGAAGGGAACTGATTGGTTAGGGCTCCCAGACTACTAAATGGGAGATAATAAAATTCTAGTTTAAGAATAATATAGTTTAAGTGGAGTCCTCCATATGCAGTATGGATGAGTATTGAGACAATTGGCCATATATTGTTGAGACAATTTGCTAGAATGTATCACCACTCCTACCCCGCACTGGCCATGCTGTGGCATGGAAAATCCACTGGGAAATTCTCGTAGCTAGACTCCATTGATGGAGTCTGTACCTTTTTGCTGTTTGACTCTGTGTAGTTTACGTAAGATTTTCCAGAAACTCTTTCTACAAGGGGAGCAGATCTGCAGGGGTTCTGAACAGACGGCATAAAGATGGTCTAAATCAGTGGTTCTCTACCTGTGGGTTGCGACCCCCGGATCGAAAGACCCTTTCACAGGGATCAAATATCAGATACCCTACAAATCAGATATTTATGTTATGATTCATGACAGTAGCAAAACTATAGTTATGAATTAGCAGTGAAATAATTTTATGGTTGGGGGTCATCACATGAGGAACTGTATTAAAGGGTCTCAGATTAGGACAGTTGAAGACCACTGGTCTAAATCAAAGCCTGGCTGGACTCCCGGCTCAGGTTCACCTCCGACCACGTTTCTAACACCTGCAGAGTATGTCCGGTGTTCCCCTAAGGGCACTTACAAATACTGGAGTTACTCTGTGCCTAACTCTCCCGCTGGACTCTGGCTCTTTTTGGAGATATAGAACAGTATCTCTCAACCATGTACTTAGTTCTTAGAAGTAGTAATCACATAAATACTTATTGTTAATTAACTCAGAAGTCCAAATATCTTCCTGTAGGATGACATTATTGTGCAAAAGTCATGGCCACCATCTTCAGACTGAAGTCTGCATGCAGGCTGAGACCCACACACATGCCCCTCATCCACAGTGGCTCTTTTTCTTTTTTTCTTTTTTTTTTTATGTGTGGGTGTGTGTGAATTTTTTCTTTTTTTTATTATTAAGAAATTCTCTTTTCATTTTACATATCAACCACAGATCTCCCTCTTCTTTCCCCTCCCCTCCCGCCCCCCAGCCTTCCTCCCCAGCCCACCCCCCATCCCCACCTCCTCCAAGGCAAGGTCTCCCATGGGGAGTCAGCAGAGCCTGGTACATTCAGTTGAAGCAGGTCCAAGCCCCTCCCCCTGCACCAAGATTGTAAGGTGTCCCACCATAGGTAATGGGCTCCAGAAAGCCAGCTCATGCACCGGGGACGAATTCTGATCCCACTGCCAGGGGCCCCCTTAAACAGTTCAAGCTGCACAACTGTCTCACCTATGCAGAGGCCCTAGTCCAGTCCCATGGGGGCCACACTGGCTCTTCAGCAACTCAATGCTATTCTGTCTACAAAGTTCCCACAGGAGTCCTGAGAGGAGCTGATGGGATAGGCTTTAGGAAGGAGGTGTCTGGGTCCTGGATAGCTGTTTCCCAACTTGAGGACCAACAACCAAGGCCCGAGAATGCAGACAAGAATAGCAGTTTCTAACTTTTCTCACCTCTAGCTCCCCTCCATTTGGCCCCAGAGAAGTGTGAGTGAGAGCATTCTAGGGCCACCAGGTCTCCCTGGGTGGCAGTGGTTGGCATGTGTGGGTGGAAGTCACCAGGCTTGGTCCGCGAATGGCAAACTGGAAACCCAGAAGGTCTGCTTTTTAACTTACTCTTCAGCGGTGACGTAGGAGTGGCTGTGGCCCTTCCTGGGGTAGCCGAAGTGAGCCTCTTCCCGTGGCATTGTGTGGACTCAGAGCACAGAACACCTAAAGGAAGAGTGTGTGAACGTTGTTCAGTATATCCAAAACACCCTCAAGCATCTCACAGACACACAGAGAGTGTCCCCAGGATGGGTGTCAGCTAGCACATCCTCTAGGTCCTCCCTGTGGGGATTCATACCTCCTCTCACTAATTCCAAGAGGGTTAGAAATAGCTCAGACGCCTTTTAATTACTGGAAAGGTCTAAGAAGAAACTACAAATGAAACATAACAATTAAAACTGAGTTATCATGGGGGAGTGTGTCTCCCCGGCCTTCAGTTTGACTCTATGACAAAATCAGGGAGGCTTTTATTCATTCTTTCTCTAGCTTTACTGGCCTAGGGCAGCAGTTACTAGAACAAGAGGTGGCGCTGGAGGAATGACTCAGTGTGTAAAGATGTTTGCTACACGAGTCTGGCAACCTGAGTGTGATTCCCAGAACCCCAAGTAAAGGTAGAAGATGACTCCATGACATTGTCTTTTGAGCCCTACATGTGCACTGCCCCTCTCTCCCTCTCCCTCTCCCTCTCCCTCTCCCTCTCCCTCTCCCTCTCCCTCTCCCTCTCCCTCTCCCTCTCCCTCTCCCTCTCCCTCTCCCTCTCCCTCTCCCTCTCCCCTCTCTCTCTCTCTCTCTCTCTCTCTCTCTCTCTCTCTCACACACACACACACACACACATACACACATGGTATAATAATAAATTTTAAAAGAAATAAAAGAAGCTAGACGGTAGTGGTGGCACACCTTCAATCCCAGCACTCGGGAGGCTGAGGCAGGAGGATCTCTGTGAGTTTGAGGCCAGCCTGGTCTACAGAGCTAGTACCAGGACAGCCAGGGCTGTTACACACAGAAACCCTGTATCAAAAAACAAACAACAAGAAAAGAAAAGAAAAGAAAAGAAAAGAAGGTGCATTATTTTTCTCCAAAATCACCACTGTCATCAATCTCTGGCCAAGTAGAAGGTTCCAACCCTCAGTGAGATATATTTCCCAGAGCACCGCACCCTGAGGCTGGCCAGGGTGTGTATAGCAGTGACAGAGCATCTTCCAAACCCACTTTTCAACAAGGGAACCCCTTCTTTTTGGCCAAGTACAAATCACCCAAGACAAACCAGTGAAATGAAACCTCATTTCATCTAGTACTTTGTTTCTCCTCCCATTCAATTCAATTTCTATTTCTATCTATCCAGGTCTCATGCCTAGGAATTAAAAACTTTTTTTTGTTTTGTTTTTTAGACTGAGTCTCACTGCACTGCCCTGGCTGTCTTAGAACTCAAAATGTAGACTAGACAGCCCTTGAGCTCATAAAGATCTGTGTTCCTCTGCTGTCCAAGTGCAGGAGTTAATTAAAGGTGTGTGCCACCACATCCAACCCAAACACACACACACACACACACACACACACACACACACACACACACACACCACAAAACAAACCCTAAAATGTGTGTAAATGAATACCAACAAAAATCTCATAGACTACATTGGTCATAATTAAATTGAGCTCATTAAAAAGCAATAATGGGAGCTTCACTCCTTGCTATTATTGTGTGGTAGTTTTTTTTTTAATGGTTTTTATACATTTTAAAGGCCTATCCCCATGGAATTACATTAATTAGCTCCATTTTTGAAGAACAGGGATTATGGGAGAGCAAAATCAGGACTTTCTTTATTTCCCTGTGACTCCTTTCTACAGGGGTCATTTTGCATGTAATTTGCCCCTCCCAGGTATAAAAAAGAAATTACAGTTGATCTCACAGATCATCTCAGATGGGTAGTATAGGGGTGAAGCCTGTGTTGACAGACAAGAGGGTCAATTAATTCTGCATTCATTGTTTTTTGTGTGCATCTTCCTCAAGCTCAGAGCCTTGGCGAAGAGTTACAGGACAAGCGCACCTCACCCACTCAAGCCAGCAGAAGTCCCTTTGGGTGACAGACTACAGACTACATCTAGTGCAAAGGGGTTCCTGTCACCAGTAACACGTCCCCCCTTCCCCCCCCAACCCCCCGTCACCATTCTTGGCAACCTTGGAGGACTGAGAGGGAATCTAACAGACTGTGGACTCCAGAAGTGAGACAATTACAAACAGGGACAGGGAGAGGGGAATTCTGCTGACACTTGAGATTCAAATAAAACCCTGAGGAGTCCCCAAGCCCTGTTCTGGAAGAAGCTAGAGCTCTTACCTTCTTGAGGAGACAGTCCTTTGTGCGTTGACTGACTGGCTGTGTGTGTGAAGACGGCTTCTCTGGCTATTAATCTAAAAAAAAAAAAAAAACACACTTTTTTTTCATTCTTGATCTTGAGTCTCATGATAGTCATGAGTTTAGATTCCTAATGGGTTGTCTGTGATTCCTTATTTGGCATGAAAGAAACTAACTTCATTCTACCCTTTAGGGAAAACACACACACACACACACACACACACACACACACAGAGAGAGAGAGAGAGAGAGAGAGAGAGAGAGAGAGAGAGAGAGAGAGAGAGAGAGAGAGAGAGAGAGGGAGAAAGCTTTTGGTGGTCTGTGTTTCCCCAGTTCCAACACTTTACCCCAGGGAGGCCATTCATTTTAAGTTGCCTAGTGGGTGTCCAGGTAAACTTGCATTTCACATAAACAAGTATTCTTGTCATACATCTAATGTAATATTTTTTTTCCTTACTCTAAAAATGCCTCAGCCATGGAGTGCTCAGCCCTAAATACAACTTGCATGTCACAGTCTGCCCTCGCACAACTCTGGGATCTTCGAGGAAGACGAGGCGGAAAGAGTGTAAGTGTCGGAGGTGGTAGGTGTCTCCAAGGAGACAGTGTTCTCCAGACACAACGGGGCAGCTGCACATAAAGGAATTCTGACAGCGGGCACAAGACCTGCTCAAACCAGACAAAGCTCACCACCAGCTGAGGTAGTTGATAGCTGCAGGAGAGAGAGAGTGAGATTCCATTAATGGTGTTGACCCTGGTAGGGTGGCCACACTCTAGGGCAGAGTCCACTCCCAAGAGTAGTTGGGCAACCCAAACTGCACTCCATAGGTGAAGACGAGGAGGAACAGGGGGAGGAGAACTCAAAGTTGGGTGGGTAGGGAGGTCAGAGTGAGAGGGTGGGTCTACGAGGAGGTGGAGAAGGAATATGATCAAAATATATTGTATGAAATTATGAAATTTTTAATAAAATGTTATTTAAAAAACATATCAAAAAATTTTAAAATGTCTCACATATTGTTGGGATAAAGTTACAGTAAAGAATTCTATTTTTTGAGCAAGGCATGGTGGCTCATGCCTACAGTAATAGCACTTGGGACATTGAGGCAAGAATATCACAAGTTCAAAGCCAGCTTGGGCTATACAGTGAGACCTGCTTCCAAATATGTACATAGTTTATCTGAAGCCCAAGTTTAACTGGGTGCCTGACTTTCACCCCAAAGAACTGAAGAGCTGGTAGGCTGAGGTCTGGAAAGCAAGCCCCAATAGTCCATGTCCTCGTTGTCTGTAGTGGCCCTGGGGTTAACTGTCCACTGAGGGTTGTGAGTTTCCATGCACTTGTAAGAGACAGGTGAAATTTTCCTTTTCAAGGTGAACCTACTTAGACTCCCACTAAACTAGAGATAATTCTACTTACCGTCAAAATCCAGCATGTAGCAATGGCACAGTGGTCACCTTTGCTAACTGGCCTTCCCTAACCATCACAGACAGACAAACCCACCCCAGATAAAGGAGTACAAGAGTCTTCATCAGCTAGGACTTGGATAAACTGACCACAAAGATCCCTTCCCCTCACATATGAGGTCCATATCATCTCAGAGCCTATGATTCTAGTTTCCATGCTGGGCTATGAACAAGAGCTTGCTTTGTGTGAGGGTAATATGAGCCTACTGGAAACTTAGTGACTGTCACTAGAGTTAGCAAGGGACACACAAAACAGAGAAAGAAGAAAGTTGACCCTAGGGGAAGCCTTTCTGCTGTAGAACAATCTTTGTACACTACATATGTATTACTCTCATAATTGGTTAATAATAATTAATAATAATGACTGGCCAATAGCTAGGCAGGCAGAGATTGGGCAGGAGAGCCAGACTAGGAGGATGCTGGGAAGAAGGGCAGAGTCTGAGGAGATGCCATGAGACGCAGAGCGAGCAGGATGGGAGGTACGACCATGAGGTAAATGAGCCTCAGGGCAGCACATAGATTAATAGAAGTGGGTTAATTCGAGTTATAACAGCTATCTAAAAAAAAAAAGCCTAAGCTATCGGCTGAGCGTTTATAATCAATACTAAATCTCTGTGTGGTTATTTGGGGAGCAGCTGGTAGAACAGAAAAGTCCATCTATACTTTTCTGCAAAGGACAGACATTGTTAACTAAGAATTAAATGGCAGCAGGGAGAAGGCCGTGCTTTTCATTAGGGCATTCGGGGTGTGGCTCTGTGGCAGAGCAATTATGGGGCTCTGGGTTCAATCCCTAGCCATGTTTTAAAAAAAAGAAGAAAGAAAGAAAAGAAAGGAAAACAAGGAGGAAAATCTTCTCAGATAGAGCAACAGCGCAAAGGCACTGAGGCAGAAGCAGAGCATGAGCTGGCCCAGAATCGGGTGGGTCGGTAGATTTTTAAAGACCTACAGTCTGACCTGCCCATAAGATATCCTGGGCAGCAGTGGCACAGAACTCGTGGGAGCAGTCCATCACTGTCTGATTGGACCTGAAGCCCACCCCATGAGACGAAACTGATACCCAACACCGCATGGGTGGCCAAGATCCAGAGACTAGCTAGCTGAGAGACCTGGGGTGAAACAAAACACTACTGGTCTGAAAAAAAAAGAAGAAAAAATTCATTAAAATGACTCCTATCGGTGCTCTATCCAGTCATCATCAGAGAGGCTTCCTCTGGCCTCTCTGATGGGAAGAGATGCAGAGACCCACAGCCAGGCACTACATGGAAAGAAAGTCTAGTAGAAGGTCTCCATCGAATCCCTTCCCTCAAAGCTCAGGGAACCCCAAAGAAGAAGAGGCAGAAAGATTGTAAGGGCCAGAGGGGCTGGAGGACACCAGGAGAACAAGGCTCTCTGAATCAACAAAGCAAGGCACACGTGAGTTCACAGGCTGGAGCAGCAAACACAGGGCCAACATGGGCTTGTACTGTGCCCTCT